ACAGGCACGTGCCACCATGCCCAGCTAATTTTTTGTATTTTTAGTAGAGACGGGGTTTCACCATGTTGACCAGGATGGTCTCGATCTCTTGACCTTGTGATCCACCCGCCTCGGCCTCCCAAAGTGCTGGGATTACAGGCTTGAGCCACCGCGCCCGGCCCATTTCAAAATCTCTGACCCTGCATATTGTTTCAGCTCCACGAGTGAACAAATTCCTCCTCGAGTGGACGAATTACTCCCCCTAATTAGTCCTCAGTGAGCCGAGGGTCTCAGAAAGCAACAGTCAAAGCATTTCTAAAACAGAGCATAGTGTTTTCAATGAAAGTATATCTATTTCTTTAAAATAGGTAATCATGATAGCTACAGTTTATTGAGAACCTACTGTGAGCCAGGTACTGGGCCAAGCACTTTATATATTTTATCTCATGTTGTTCTCTGAAGAACTGAAAAAGATAGGGTTCTCATTTAACTGATTAAAAAAAACTAAGGCTCAGAGAAGGTAAGTGACTTGCTCGAGGCTGCACAGGAAATAAAAGGGCAATACTAGACTTTAAAGCCCCAGTCTGTGTGAATCCAAACCCCACGCTCCTCACCACCCCTAACACTGTTGCAGGTGGCAAGGGGTCTCTGCTTCCTGAGGGACATCAAATACAGGCTAGACCAGACTCCAGAAAGTTTTAAGAAGACTGGAAACTGAACTCAAGGGCTCTCCAAAGTCTTTTAGAGGATTAAAGATCCTTAACTCTTTAAAAAACATGACTTGTGGTAGAGTTCACAGCCAATTGTAGCAAAAAATATTTTAAAAGAAAAAAAAAACATTTCTAGGTTAGGCACAGATGCCAACGCCTATAATCCCAGCACTTTGGAAAGCTGAGGCAGGAGGACTGCTTGAGGCCAGGAGTTCAAGACCAGCTTGGGAACATAACAAGATCCCCATCTCTACCAAAAAAAAAAAATCTAAAAAAAATTAGCCAGGCATGGTGATGTGGGCCTGTTGTCCCAGCTACTTGGGAAGCTGGGGTAGGAGGATCGCTTGGGCCAGAGGCCACACACAGTAAGCTTTGATCACATCACTGCATTCTGGCCTGCGCAACAGAGCCAAGACCCTGTCTCAAAAAACAACTATTTCTGGATCCTCAATGGATTCTTGGGGTGTCAGGAAAAGGCTGGGGACACCTTAGCTATTAACTCACGAATTTTTAGGGAATGGCTCTTTCTAGATCTAGCCCTGTGCTTCTACTTAGCTCATCTTCTTGCAGCTCGAGACTTTGACCTGCAGAAATCCGAGGACATGCTCCGGAGGGTAAGCGTCTATGATCCCTACTGCCCTGCCTTCCATGCACCCAGGGATTGGTGGCAAAAGGGTAGGGACTCTGGTCCTGTCCCATCCTCCTGCTTCTTCTTTCTTCCTCCCTGGATCCCTTTCTGCCTCAGACCCAAGCTCCTGTCTCCATCCCTAGGTCTATGGGTATGCTCTGGTGGGATCTTGGTGACTGTGGGCAGAGGGACCTAGCCTGGTGTCCCCAGGTTCCTGCAGAACCCTACAGCTCTTGCTATGTCCCTGTAGCACATGGAGTTCCGGAAGCAACAAGACCTGGACAACATCCTCTCGTGGCAGCCCCCCGAGGTGAGCCTCGAGCAGCATCCCCCAGGCTGTTTGAGGCCCCTCACCCCCAACCTCATCTCCCACCCACCACATCCAGCCACCTGATGGAATAGGGACCCAGCCTGGTGAGCTGGAGCGAGTCAGGACCTTGCCCTCACCTCCAGGTCATCCGGCTGTACGACTCGGGAGGTCTGTGTGGCTACGACTACGAAGGCTGCCCTGTGTACTTCAACATCATCGGGTCCCTTGACCCCAAGGGTCTCCTGCTGTCGGCCTCCAAGCAGGATATGATCCAGAAGCGCATCAAGGTCTGCGAGCTGCTTTTGCGTGAGTGTGAGCTGCAGACTCAGAAGGTGAGCAGCTGGGGTGGGGTGGGCCTCATCTGTCTACTGGGTGGCACCAGGACCAGAGAAGGGTGCCCCCTGCCCCTTCCCCAGCCCTCAGCACTCAGGGCTCTGGTGGAATGTGGGTTTCTCCCACCCTTAGCCACCCATAAAGGTGAGGTGTTTTCCATTTGTCTGGAAAATGCTATGGGCTGCCAGAGGGTGGGATGGCAGGAAGGCGGGGAGAGGTGCCCAAGTCTCTCTGGCCAGGATCTCCTGGCTGGAGCTGTTGTCTGACCTGTATGGGGGCTCTGTCCCAAGCAGCTAGGCAGGAAGATCGAGATGGCGCTGATGGTGTTTGACATGGAGGGGCTGGGCCTGAAACACCTGTGGAAGCCAGCTGTGGAGGTCTACCAGCAGGTAAGGTGCACAGCTGGCTTGAGGCTGGTGTGGGCGGACACTCCCAGCTGTGAGCCCTAGCTGTGAATTACTGTGAGAATCCAATGAGATAGAGGGGTGGGGATACCCTGCAGGGGCTCCACAGACCAGCCACTGGCCTAGAGTCCACCCTCCAAGGAGAAGGAGGAGCAAGATTATCACAAAGAGGCTGGGCATGGTGGCTCATGCCTATAGTCCCAGCACTTTGGGTGGCCAAGGCTGGAGGATCACTTGAGTCCAGGAGTCCAAGATCAGCCTGAGCAACACAGGTGAGATGTCTCTATTAATAATAATAACAGTAACTTTTTTTTTTTGAGATGGAAACTCTGTCATCCAGGCTGGAGTGCAATGATGCAATCTCAGCTCACTGCAACCTCTGCCTCCCGGGTTCAAGCAATTCTCTTGCCTCAGCCTCCTGAGTAGCTGGGACTACAGGCGGCCGCCACCACGCCCGGCTAATTTTTGTATTTTTAGTAAAGACAGGGTTTTACCATGTTGGTCAGGCTGGTCTCAAACTCCTGACCTCATAATCCACCCACCTTGGCTTCCCAAAGTGCTGGGAATACAGGCATGAGCCACCGCACCTGGCCAATAATAATAAATTTTTACATGAGTCCAGTGCAGTGGCACGTGCCTGTAGTCCTAGATACTTGAGTGACTGAGGCAGGAGTATCTCGTGAACCCAGGAGTTCAAGGTTGCAGTAAGCTATGATTGTGCCACTGTACTCCACCTTGGGTAAAGAACTGTCTCAAGAACAAATAAGCAAACAAAAGAATAACAGAGAGAAGGAGGCGCGTGCTCGTGGGGAAGGTGGGATGGGCCAGGGAGGGGCCTCTTGTCTCAGCAGCATCAGAGGCCACAGAAATCCGTGGGCGGGAGGTGATGGAACAGAGCCCCAACCAGACTCCTCTTGACTCTGCAGTTTTTTAGCATCCTGGAAGCAAATTATCCTGAGACTCTGAAGAATTTAATTGTTATTCGAGGTAAGCTTATTACCGGGATGACCTCCTGAGGAGGGAGAAGCAGGAATGGGGGGTGCACTAGGTAAGCCGTGGAATTAAAGGCTTCTTCAGCCATCATTTGTGAAGAACCAGGTTTTGTGTGGTTGGTTTCTGGTTTCACTTTTATTTTTTTATTTATTTTAGATGGAGTCTCCCTCTGTTGCCCAGGCTGGAGTGCGGTGGTGCGATCTCGCTAACTGCAACCTCCACCTCTAGGGTTCAAGTGATTCTCCTGCCTCAGCCTCCCGAGTAGCTGGGATTACAGGTGCCCGCCACCACGCCCGGCTGATTTTTGTATTTTTAGTAAAGGTGGGGTTTCCCTATGTTGGCCAGGCTGGTTTCAAACTCCTGATCTCAAATGATCCACTCGCCTTGGCCTCCTGAAGTACTGGGATTATAGGCATGAGCCACCACGCCCGGCCTCTGGTTTTATTTTTTAGTTCCAGTCCTTCACAGACTGATATTTTGTAATATACAAAATCATGCACTGGTATGTTGCAGCAATGTCAAATAAGTTATAAGTTTCTTTTTAGTTTGTTTGTTTGAGACAGTCTTGTTCTGTTGCCCAGGCTGTAGTGCAGTGATGAGATTCTGGCTCACTGCAACCTCCACCTCCTGGGTTCAAGCAATTCTCCTGCCTCAGCCTCCTGAGTAGCTGGGATTACAGGCGTGCACCACCACACCCAGCTAATTTTTGTATTTTTAGTAGAGACGGGTTTCACCATGTTGGCAGGCTGGTCTCGAACTCCTGACCTTGTGATCTGCCCACCTCAGCCTCCCAAAGTGCTGGGATTACAGGCGTGAGCCACTGTGCCCGGTCTAAATAAGTTATAAGTTTCTAAATGTTTACTGTTACTTATGTTGGTGTGGACTGGGAACAGAACAGTCCATGGACTCCACTAGTGGATGGACACACTTTGAGTGGGAATGGTCCCTGGCTGCACTGGTGATGTCTTGTGCTCCAGAGTCAGAGGATCTGGTTCAAATCTAACTAGCTCTATGATTTTATTGAAGTCTACCTAACCTCACTGAGCATCAGTTTTCCCATTCTGTAAAATGGGGATAGAGTGGCTCCCTCCCCATAAGAGAACTATGAGGTTAAACCAAACAGTGTGTGAAGACGGAACACAGAGCTTGGCCCACATAGTGCTCAGTTGAGTATGAGCAATTCAGGGCGGACAGTAGGTCTAATGTAAATGTCACACCCGAGAAGATTTCAGACAGCCTGGAGTGTGGAAAGGAAGAGATACTATTGGGGAATCAGCATTGCTGAACCTAGAGCCAGCTTGTGCTCAACTCCTTACAACTGGGCTGGGGAGACAACCTTTTTTTTTTTTGATTTTTATTTATTTATTAGAGACAGAATCTCAGTCTGTCACCCAGGCTGGAGTGCAGTGGAGCAATCTTGGCTCACTGCAACCTCTACCTCCCAGATTCAAGCAATTCTCATGCCACCACCACCCGAATAGCTGGAATTACAGGCATGCACCACTATGCCCAGCTAATTTTTGTGTTTCTCATAGAGACGCGGTTTCACCATGTTGGCCAGGCTGGTCTTTAACTCCTGGCCTCAAGTGATCTGCCTGCCTCAGCCTCCCAGAGTGCTAGGATTACAGGTATAAGCCACCGCACCTGGCCCGAGACAACCATTTATTGAAAGCCAGGAACTGTGCCAGGTGTTATATATACGTTATTTCACCTTCATTTTCCAGTTAACTGCACTGAGACTTAGAGAGGGTGCTGAAGGTCACACCGCAGACAGCGGCAGAGTCCGTATCTGTCCATCTCCAGCCCAGCACATGCTCTTGACTGTGGCTCTGTATCCCCACATCCTCTCTGCTCCAGCTTCTCAGGAGATTTGCATGTGTTTCAGCCCCCAAACTGTTCCCCGTGGCCTTCAACTTGGTCAAGTCATTCATGAGTGAGGAAACACGCAGGAAGATTGTAATTCTGGGAGGTGAGTGACTCGGCCTCTGGTTGTGTCCATGTGCCTGGGAAGCAGAGGTTGACACTAAAGACCCTGTTTCTCCCTGGCTTGCCCTCTACTTGGGAACTGGCCCTGGCCTGACCCTGGTCAGCTTCTACACACATGGGTCCTAGACCACGGGCTGGGAGCCAGTAAAGGTCTTGGGTGCTCTTAGGAGTAGGCACCCAGGGGAGCATGCCCAGGACATATCAGGTCCCCTCGCCAGGCTCAGCCCCTTCTGCCCTCTGTCGAGTCTTGGAGTCCCTCTTGCTCCCATGCAGACAACTGGAAGCACGAGCTGACGAAATTCATCAGCCCCGACCAGCTGCCTGCGGAGTTTGGGGGGACCATGACTGACCCCGATGGCAACCCCAAGTGCCTGACCAAGGTACAGGGTGCCCAGAGGATGGGGAGGGAGGGGAGAAGCTGTGATCTAGTGCCCACTCACGCCCCTCACCCACAGATCAACTACGGGGGTGAGGTGCCCAAGAGCTACTACCTGTGCAACCAGGTGAGGCTGCAGTACGAGCACACGGAGTCCGTGGGTCGAGGCTCCTCCTTGCAGGTGGAGAACGAGATCCTGTTCCCAGGCTGTGTGCTCAGGTAGGGATGGCAGCCACCCCACACCTGGGCACAGCTGGGAAGGTGCCAGAGCCCAGGCAGGGGGTCGCCAATGGGGCTCTGTCCACTGCAGGTGGCAGTTCACATCGGATGGCGGGGACATCGGCTTTGGAGTTTTCCTGAAGACCAAAATGGGGGAGCGGCAAAGGGCTCGGGAGATGACAGAGGTGCTGCCCAGCCAGCGCTACAACGCCCACCTGGTGCCCGAGGATGGGAGCCTCACCTGCCTCAAGGCTGGCGTCTGTAAGAGCTCCAGGGTTTACTGGAATTATTTTCCTTGCCATCTACCCTCTGCTTGCCCTCTCTTTCCAGCTCTCGGGAGGGGTGTGGGGATGTCTGTAAGCTCCAGGGGAGCTGGCTTCAGGGCCACGGATGGGATGAGTGGCCCTTACATGTGGGTATGAGGGCAGACTCATTGTGGGGGAAGAGCTGGTGTTCAGAACCTGGGGCCTTGGGCTCAGCTGAGAAGACCCTATACCAGGCTCATTGGGCTAAGAGACAGGTAAGTAAGAGGCCACGGACTTAGAGTCAGGGGTCTTGGCAAGGGGACCACCCAGTTGCATGAACCACCCCACTCCGGGAATCCCAAAGAGGTGGCTTCCTCCAGGTGTTTATCCTTCACTCTCAGGCCTCCCAGGCCAGATGCAGCTCAGTCAGCTTCACCGGAAGCAGCTTGCCGAGAGACACCACTGCCCTTCCATGTCTATTGGGAACAGAGCTAGAAGCAGGGGAGCCCAAGGTTGACTTCCTATGGAGGAGAAGGGTGTTGCTTATGCTTAAGTCAACACATGATCTTGTTTCACTTTGTGGAAAGGGAGCCTTAGGAGAGTAGAGACAGAGAAGTCTGCACGACTCATCAGACCCGAGTTCATGTTGGACCTTGGCATTGAAGGACATGCCTTCTGCAAGATGAAAAAGTGACTTACGTAGTCCAGCCCTTTCCTCCTGGGGTGGCAGGGCTCCTCCCTGGGTTAGGGCATCGGGATAAGGGAATCCCAGTACCTCCCCTGCCTTGTTCTGTGACCGCTGAAAGATCCTATCACCTCTCTAAGCCTCAGTTTTCTCATCTGTAAAATGAGGATGGCATTGCCTTCCTCATGGGCCTGCTTTGAGGATTCAGGGCACCGTAATGTGTGATGGAATGCATGGTGCATGGAGAGGCCCTAGAGCTACTACCTGTGCAACCAGGCCAGGACGCAGTATGGGCATAGCATGTCCGTGGGCTGCAGCTCCTCCCTGCAGGTGGAGCCCAAGATCCTGTTCCCAGGCTGCAGGCTTCCTGGTTGTGTGCTATTCTGTGGGCTGGTAACTGTCATGAGTCCTTTATGTAGCTCAAGCCACCATGGGATGGCAGTGAGCAACAGGCTTAGGGAGGGACACAGGCTGGCCCTCAGGCTCCGCTCACCATCCTGGACAGCTCATTCCCAAGGGTTCCAGGGATGCAGCCATGCAGGGCTCTCTCTTTCTGCAGATACACGGGGTTCGTGCTCCCTGATCTCCTCTCTGTCACTGCAGATGTCCTGCGCTTTGACAACACCTACAGCCGGATGCACGCCAAGAAGCTCAGCTATACTGTGGAGGTGCTGCTTCCCGACAAGGCCTCTGAGGAGACGCTGCAGAGTCTCAAGGCGACGAGTCCCTCCCAACACAGTGAAGACCCTAGCCACCTCAGCCTGTGTGCTCCAACCCCTTAGCTCCCATCCCCAATCCCTGTAGTCCCAGGCAGGGTGGTGCTGAAGGTGGCTGCAAAGAGTCACCTGTCCCACGTCACCATCTCAGCTCATTGTGGACCCACCTACCACAGTGGCCAACCAGTAAGGGGCCACCAGGGCATAGACCATGCTGAAGATTCAGACAGAAACCTCTTTCCCTGTTCCCAGAGAATGGGGATGAGAATGAGACACGGAAGATGATCCAGTCCACTGAAGATGGGTCCTCCCTGCAGAAACTGCCCTTCCATCCATCCCGACAAGGTCCAGCCACCCAGGACTCGCCCATGCCTGGAGTTCTGGCTTCAGGGGGTGTGTGTGGCCCAGGCCCTGTGGGCATCACTGCTTCAGGCCTGAAAAGCAGAGAAGTCCCGTTCTTTGCACGTAGGAGGTCAGCAGGGTGGGCAGGCCCAGCTGGAGGCGGCTGGGTAATGAGATAGGGCAAGGGTGAGGGTCCTGGTTCCAGCAGAACATTGGGGCCCATCCAAGTTTGTTCTGCCACCGCTGGATGGAAAATTGGAAATGGGCTGGGCGCGGCGGCTCACACCTATAATCCCAGCACTTTGGGAGGCCGAGGTGGGCAGATCATCTGAGGTCAGGAGTTCGAGACCAGCCTGGCCAACATGGCAAAACCTGTCTCTACTAAAAATACAAACATTAGCCAGGCATGGTGGTGTGCACCTGTAATCCCAGCTACTCAGGAGGTTGAAGTGAGAGAATCGCTTGAACCTGGGAGGCGGAGGTTGCGGTGAGGTTGCCACTGTATTCCAGCCTGGCGACAGAGCCAGATTCCGTCTCAAAATAAACAAACAAACAAATAAATGAAAGAAAACTGAAAATGGAGAGGTGGGCCCTGGCAGAGGTAACCATCAGAGGAAAAGCCACACACAGCCTTTCAGTTGAGTGGGTAACAACTGAGTCTCCGGGAATTCCCAGTGCCCTCCCCTCTACACCTGCTGTGATCCTGCCAACATTTAGCTTTGATTCTTCTGGCAGCTGCACCATTCATGGATACATATACGTAGCACCTGAACAGGTGCTTTGCTGCTAGAAACAGCAAACCATTTAAACTCCTAAAGCCAGTGCCACGAGGCATCCCTGTTCCAACCGGGTGTTTGAGCAGGTTGGCAAGAAAAAAAATGGCTGTGCTGGCTCCATGGAGATGGCCTGGGCTGTCGGGCAAGAGTCACAGAACATCCCCATCTCCAGGGGCTGCCTCTGCATCTGAGATGTGACAGGCATCCCCTGACCCTGTTGCACTGCATGGCCATCCTGTCTGCTGCTTCCCCAGATGCAGTGATATCTGGAGGGCCAGAGGCACCTGGGCTTCCAAGGCAGGCTGTGACTGACTGGAGTTGGGAGGACCCTGTGCTAAATGTCACAAGGCCCACCTTGTTGTCATGATGGCGGATTATAGTGCCTCACTTCAGCCTTGACGTCCTCCGCCTAAAAACCAGGGGTTCATAGACTTGAACTCTGATTCTTGCCCATGTAACTACCCACAGTCAATTTTCCACCGTCAGCACAGCCTTGTCTGGTTTCCTTGCGGGTAGCAAGGACTGCTCTGCCCCCTGTACAAGGGTTTCCAAGGCTCTGATCACAGGGCTGTGATCACAAATGCCGGCTGCCTGGGGGATGGCAAACAGAAATGGGGTCAGGTGCAGGCACCAGTGACAGAATTGCAGTGAGCACAGGGGTGGCCTGCAGAGGTGAGAGCAGAATCTCCTACCAGGCCAGGATGGGAGGGCACACTGGAAGCTCAGCAGGGGCACATGTCCTCAGCAACCCCATTTCTAATTCTTCTTTTTTTTTTGAGACAGAGTGTCTGTTGCCCAGGCTGGAGTGCAGTGGCATGATCTCAGCTCACTGCAACCTCCACCTCCTGGGTTCAAGTGATTCTCCCTCCTGCCGCAGCCTTCCGAGTAGCTGGGACTACAGACATGTACCACGACATCTGGCTGATTTTTGTATTTTTAGTAGAGATGGAGTTTCACCATGTTGGCCAGGCTGGTCTCAAACTCCTCACCTCAAGTTATCTGCCTGCCTCAGCCTCCCAAAGTGCTAGGATTACAGGTGTGAGCCACCATGCCCGGCCCTCATTTCTAATTCTTAACACTGTCACTTCTTTACAAAACTGAAAAAAACACAAGTCACCCAAGGAAGGGCAGTGGGTTGCCCAAAGTTTGTTTCTTCATTCATTCATTGATGTTAATTTTTTAAAAGCAGAGACGGGGTCTTGCTATGTTGCCCAGGCTGATCTTGAACTCCTGGGTTCAAGCCTCGCAAAGTGCTGAGGTCACAGGTGTGAGCCACTGGGCCTAGCCTGCTTTTGGATGTTTATTGAGTATCTCCCCAGCACCAGGCACTGCAGGCCCTGGGGACACTGAGGACTCTGGGCTGACCCAACTGTGTTAACTGGAGGTTTGCACTCATGGAGGGAGGGAGGCGAAAGTGACACCAGTGATCAGTTATCAAGTGGGTGCATTGTCACCATGGGTGCTTGGTGGGGGGCAGGAGGCGAATTCTAATTTTTGTATTTTTAGTAGAGACAGGGTTTCACCATGTTGGTCAGGCTGATCTCGAACTCCTGACCTCAAGTGATCCACCCACCTCTGCCTCCCAAAGTTCTGGGATTACAGACATGAGACACCACACCCAGCCCAGTAGATAGACATTTTTCAAGTTTGACTAGGCATTTCTCCATAGATGATATACAGCCTTTTGCACCTGCCCTCTTGGTACCCAAGTTCTTGTCCAGCAGCATCCAGGAAGATTCAGGTCACACAAATCAACTGAAGAGTGGTGAATCTGGAGGATTTTATTGAGCAGTGTAAGTGGCTCTCAGCAGGATGGAGAGCTGGAACAGGAGTGGGAAGGTGATCTTCCCCTGGAGTTTGTCTGTCCCTGGTGGAACTCTTCTCCGAAGTCTCATGGTCAAGCCATCCCTCTGAAGTCAAACTCCTTCTTTCCAACACCTGTGTTGAGAAATGCTGAGTGTAAAATAAAATATATTGTTTGCTAAGAAGACTCCCCCCCCAATTGGAAAACTACTTGGGGCATTCTAACGTAGCAAGACAGTATACGTATTTCATATACCTGTTAAAACAATTTTTTAAGCACAGGCTATGTGACCCTGCCCCCGTGGCTCCCTCGTGGAGAATACTTTGTAGTATCAGTGGTAAGCAGGCACCAGCTGCCTACCTAGTTTATTTTTGTTCCATGAGAAAATACGGAACACCTGTTTGTTAATAATAATCACCTGTTCTGAGAGAAGAACTACATGGGTCAGCGTCTGCTCAAGGCCCCCAGCCCAGAATGCTGTCAGCCTCTGAGGCTCTCAGCTCGGAAGGCTGCTGGCCGCCCCCCACAACCTGGATAGTCCCACTTTACTGTTCTATCTGGGTATCTGCTTAACGCCTCAGCGCTGCCTGGGTGGAGGGTCTCGCTGGTAAGCTGGCTACTGCTTCTCTTCTCTCCTCTGCTGCTCCACCCCACCACTGTGCCACCCCTCTGCCAGTGGAGTCTGGGGCTTTGGTGGGTAAAAGATGGAGGGTGGGGCAGGCCAGAAAGCAACATTCGAGCTGGAAAAGAGACAAAGTGAGAACACTTCGGGCCACAGTCCCAGGCTGGAGGACGTGGTTCTTTCCAGGGAACTCGTCCTTTTCCGCCTAGCATTTCCCTGCCTCCTGTCCACGTCAACCCCGTCCTCCCCACTCAGCCTTCCAAGTAGCTGGAACCACAGGTACACATCGCTGCAACCAGCTAATTTTTTGTATTTTCTTGTAGAGATAGCGTTTGACCTTGTTGCCCAGGCTGGCCTCAAACTCCTGGGCTTAAGCTCCACCCACCTTGACCTCCTAAAGTGCTGGGATTACAAGTGTGAGCCTGGCCAGCTTTATTACTATTTTGTGGAGATGGGGTCTCGCCCTGTAACCCAGGCTGGAGTGCAGTGACACAATCATAGCTTACCGCAGCCTGAAACTCATAGACTCAAAGGATCTTCCCACTTCAGCCTCCTGAGCCTCTGAGACTACAGCCATTGCACTCTGCTGAGGAGGAGGATTTTCATTAATTAAAAATAAAATTATAGCTTCAAACAAGGCCTCTTTTTCCACCCTTACCCCTTTCCTGTCTTTCGTTAAGCCCCTTTCCTTTTTTAATTTCCATAGGTTTTTGGAGAACAGGTGACGTTTTGTTACACAGATAAGTTCTTTCGTGGTGATTTCTGAGATTCTGGTGCACCCATCATCAGAGCAGTGTTCACTGCGCCCAGTGTGTGTTCTTTTATCCCTCACCCCTCCTTCCTTTCCTCTCAGTCCCCAAAGTACATCCTTACACCTTTGCATCTTCATAGCTTAGCTTCCATCTTTTTTTTTTAAATACTTCACAATCCCCTGCTCATGACTTTGATCTGTTCTGAATCTGCTTCCTCTAAGAAGTAGCTTTTGCTGAAACACGTTTCTTAGCAGATCCCAAAGCATAATGAAGAGAATGGTGGGATATTTGTGTCTGTTCTTGTAATATATTATTCCTTGGTTCTAGAAAAACAGATTGCTGGAAATGGTGTGCTATTTCCAGTTTGATGTTGACTGGGTGCTTGAGTGAGCGTATTTTTTTTTTTTTTTTGTTTTTTGAGACAGAGTCTCACTCTCACCCCCAGGCTGGAGTACAATGCTGTGACCTCAGCTAACTGCAACCTCCGTCTCCTGAGTTCAAGCAATTCTCCTGCCTCAGCCTCTTAAGTAGCTGGGATTAAAGGTGCTTGCCATCACACCCAGCTAATTTTTTGTATTTTTAGTTGAGATGGGTTTTCGCCACGTTGGCCAGGCTGGTCTCAAACTCCCGGTCTCAAGTGATCCACCTGTCTTGGCCTCCCAAAGTGCTGGGGTTATAGGCATGAGCCACCATGCCTGGCCTTTTTTGAGACATTATTTCCCTGTGTCATCCAGGCTGGAGTGCAGTGGCGTTTTCTCGGCTCACTGCAACTTCTGCCTCCTGGGTTCTAGTGATTCTCCTGTCTTAGCTTCCCAAGTAGCTGGGATCACAGGCATGTGCCATCATGCCCAGCTAATTTTTGTATTTTTCATTTCACCATGTTGGTTAGGATGGTCTCAAACTCCTGACCTCAGGTGAGCTGCCCACCTGGGCCTCTCAAAGTGCTGGGATTACAGGATTACAAGCATAAATCACCGCACCCCACTGAGTGAGCGAATTTTCGTGTGGCTGGATGCATTTTGGCATCTTTTCTTGCCCCATTCCTTCCTGGTGCCTTTTTTTTTTTTTTTTTTTGAGACAGAGTCTCACTCTGTCGCCCAGGCTGGAGTGTGGTGGTGTAATAGCTCACCAAGACCACCACCTCCTGCGTTCAAGTGATTCTCATGCCACGGCCTCCTGAGTAGCTAGGACTACAGGCACCCACCACTATGCCCGGCTATTTTTTGCATTTTTTGTAGAAATTTGTGGGGTGGAAGCGGTGGGGAGCTCTCACCATGTTGGCCAGGCTGGTCTTGAACTCCTGACCTCAAAGGATCCACCCGCCTTGAACTCTCAAAGTGCTGAGATTACAGGTGTGAACCACTGCACGTGGCACCTGGTGCCTTTTCACTGGGTTAGAATAGCTGAGGTAGCCCATTCTACCCTCTTCTGCCTGGGACCCAGCTGGCATTCTTTGGTTGGTTTTCTGTAAGCTCTAGGCCTGTGCTATCCAATACAGTAACCACATGTGGCTGTTTAAGTCAACTAAAATCACAAAGTTAATTCATCCCTTATGTGCTAGAACTAAACTGCAGTCTGCTCACCTGGCACAGTAAGACCAGATATCCATTCTGAGATTTTTGCAGCAGTAGAAAAGAAAGTGTATATTTGCAGGGCACCCAGCAAAGAGGACCAGACCGCTAAGGCTTAAACCCTGACCTCCCCGACGGTTTGCAGGCAAGGCTTTTTAAGGCCGAGGTAAATTTCAGGAAGATGGAAGTTACACATTGGTCTTAGCCTAAAAGGGTGGGATATCTTGCAGCTGGGGCTTAGGTAGTAGGGAGAGTCAGTTTTCTTATTTGCAGTTGGTTAAAGTAAAGATTTGTTTAAAAATTAGGGGTCAGCAGAAAAGAATATTAACTTGGGCTGGTGGATGTGACTTTTTCTAAGCCCTTCAGGAAGAAATTTACAGCAAAGCGTTCAGTCTTCAGCGGATCCTTTTTGGGAGGGGTCCAGGTTTCTGCAAAACAACTCAAACTTATGCTCAGATGTTGTCTTTGGTTTCTATAGAGGAACAAACATCTGACCCTAACTTCCTTGGCTGTTGCTTTAGGCTACGATTACCTTCTTGCTTATCAAGTTGCTTGTTTACTTCTCAGGGCTAGGTAGGGGCTTGGAATTTCCCTGGAAGGAGCTCAAGATTTTCCTTTATTTCCATCCTTGTGGGGAGCCCAGCAGGCCCCTCAGGGATCCCTGCTCCATCTAACTCAGCTGCACTAGCCACACTTCAAGGGCTCACTCGGTCGCCATATGTGGCTCATGGCTACTGCGCTGGCCACACACAGCGCATTTCCTTCTGTCGAACAGCACTGTTCTGGAGAATGCCACTGGCTGCACAAGTCCCAGCCTCAGCTATGCTGGGATGACCCTTGTGTCTCTGGGGAAGAGCTGGGTGAGGCTCCAGCTGGGGCCTGTTATCTAGTTCCCTGCTTCTCCAGAGAGGAGAGGCCTGGTGGCTCAGTTTGGCTCGGCAGTATCTCCTCCTGACCCCACTGGCTGGGGTGACAGGAATGACCCTCCCTTGCTGCACCCACTGGCTATTAGCTTCCATCACCACCCCAAGCCGGGGTCCCCACTGCAGGGGTCCTCTCCTACCCTGGGTGACCTTTTCCTCGGACGGTGCTGGAGTGAGCACTCTGTAGATGTCTCATGCTGTTGTCTGATACTGATAAAAAGATAAAAAAAAACTGGTACTTTCTATTTTTAAAAAAATGAATCTGTGGTATATGAATTATATCACAATTTTTTTTTTTAATTAAAGGAGATGAACCTGCCCAACGGTAAAAGAAAGTGAACTGTCAGGTGCTACTGAGAGCACCCCTGGGGCTCTGGAGAAGTGTACCCCAATCCCTTGCCATCTTCCCACAACCTTTTACTTTTTTGAAGGATAAGGTTTCACTCTGTCACCCAGGCCGGAGTTCAGGGGCCCTACCAGAGCTCATTGCAGCCTCAAACTCCTGGGCCCAGGTGATCCTCCTGCCTCAGCCTCCCAAGTAACTGGGACTACAGGCATGCCCCATCACACCCAGCTAATTTATATATATATATATATTTTTTTTTTTTTTTTTGAGACGGCGTTTCGCTCTTGTTGCCCAGGCTGGAGTGCAATGGTGCAATCTCGGCTCACCACAACCTCTGCCTCCTGGGTTCAGGCAATTCTCCTGCCTCAACCTCCTGAGTAGCTGGGATTACAGGCACACACCACCATGCCCAGCTAATGTTTTGTATTTTTAGTAGAGACAGGGTTTCACCATGTTGACCAGGATGATCTCAATCTCTTAACCTCGTGATCCACCCACCTTGGCCTCCCAAAGTGCTGGGATTACAGGCATGAGCCACCACGCCTGGCCAATTTTTTAATATTTTGAAAAGACAGGGTCTCACCATGTTGCCCAGGCTGATCTCAAACTCCTGGCCTCCAGCAATCCTCCCCCATCAGCCTCCCAAAGCACTGGGATTATAGGCATGAGCCTCAGCCCCTGGCCCCCATCTCCTTTTCAGGCCACTCACCTCACATCTGTGTGGTCTAAGCGCCGCCCACACCCCCCCACCTCCTCCCAGTGATGCCTGCCCTGTGCTGAGACTCTTGTACCAGAGGGGCCCCTCTGGATCTACCCAACTGCTTCTGGCAAGATCCATCCAGGTGGAGGGGTGATCGGGAATGTGCCAGGGATGGGCTGGAAGAGGCAGCTCTTTCAGATTTCCTAGTAACCAGCTGGAAGGAGGGGTTCCGCTGTGGGTTGCAGTCAGCTCTGTCTACCCACCTGTGGTTGTTTGTTTAGGTTGTGATTGCCATGGTCCCCTGAGAGCTTGGTAAGTGAGAAGCCAAACACACATGGGACCTTACTGGGAGACAGTGTGCTCTGGGGTTTGGGGAGGTGGGGGGCAGGGGACTCTACTTCCCCAAGGACTTTGTTTCAAGGCAAGCAAAATTAACCCTGCTGGCCCCAAGACACCCTGCAGCCTGAATCCAGCTCAAATCCAGGTAGATGCAGGTTCCACACAATGATTCAGACCATTTATTGAGCACTTACTTTATTCTGGGCACAATATGAACCCCTTCAGGGGAAAGCAGGGCGGGCTATCTCATCTAGAGTCAGACAGGTTTGGGTTCAAGTTCTGGCTCCTCATTTACTGGCTGTGTGACCTCAGAAAAGTTTCTTGATCTCTCTGAACTTCTATTTCTTTATGGCTCTAAAATGGAGAATACCTATACCTGCTCCTGAATGATAATAATGTAAAGCTCCCAGCACAGAGGGAGTGCTCCCCAATGGAAGACTGTGAGCTCTATGCAAGGTGGGTCCTAATCTGTCTTGTTTGCTGTAATCTCCCAACCCCCTCCACGCCTTTGCCCGTGCCATTCCCCTCCACTTGGGATGCCCTTTATCTGCCCTCCATAAATCAAAATCCTTCCTTTCTTCAAGGCCTGGCTCAAATGCCACCTGTATGACATGTGAGTGACTTCTGTGCTTGGGCCCTCTCCCTAACTAGGGCAGAAGCTTCTAGAGCCAAGACTAGGGTATAGCTTAACAGCACAACAGCAGAGTGGTTAATTGCATGGGTTTACTTACCCCTGGATAAGTTACTTAACTTCTCTATACCTCAGTTAGTTTATCTTTATAATAGGCTTAATAATAGTACCTACCTAACACCACAGGTATGTTCTGAGATTTAAATAAGGTAATGCACTGCCTTTTCCTTTTTTGAGATGCAGTCTTACTCTGTCACCCAGGCTGGAGTGCAGTGGCACCATCTCAGTTCACTACAACCTTTGCCTCCTGAGTCCAAGTCATTCTGCTGCCTCAGCCTCCCAAGTAACAGGCATTACAGGCATGCCCAGCTAATTTTTGTATTTTTTGTAGAGATGGGGTTTCACTATGTTGGCCAGTTTGGTCTTGAACTCCTGACTTCAGGTGATTACAGGTGTGAGCTGGGATTACAGGTGTGAGCCACTGCACCAGGCCAAAATGAGGTAGTGCATGTAATGAGACCTCATCTCTACGAGAAATTTGCAGGGTGTGGTGGAATGTGCCTATAGTCTGGGCTACTCAGGGGGTTGAGGTAGGAGGATTGATTGAACCTGGGGAGACTGAGGCTGTGGTGAGCCGAGATCATGTCACTGCACTCCAGCCTGGGCAACAGAGTGAGACCCTGTCTCAAAAATAAAAATAAAATGGTCAACCTGCACCATCTAATATGATAGCCATGAGCCAGATGGAACAATTTAAAGTAAAATGTATCAAAATCCAATTCAATTAAAACTTCAGTTCCTCGGTCACACTAACCATATTTCACATGGAACTGCTGGCTACCAGATATGTCTAATAGGATCCCCAGACAGAAAATGTCTACCATCACAGAGAGCTCTACTGAAACGCGCCGTAGCTTCTCCCAGTGACGTCTTCCCTGTGTCGAGGCTGTAGCTGATGAGGATTTGTGAACATAATAAAGTGCTTCAAATTTGTGGTCTGGGTCAGGAAAAGGCTCCCAATTCCTGAGAAGACCTCAACCCTCCCTCCCGGCTCTCCTTTCACAGTCTCTGATGCCCCCAGAAGTAACTAGCCCACCTAGGGATTAGGGTGAGAAAGGAGACTGGTGAGAAATGGACAGGATTAGTGGCTCGGGAGAGGGCAGTGGAGGAACCCAATCTCTGCACACAGCCAGCCTTGCAGGAAGTGGGTGTAGACAGCAGCTGGGGCTTTGCAGAAATTGAGGCTGGAATGTGAAATGGGGCAGGGCTGGGGTGTGGAGAGTTACCTAATTGTTCCTGAGTACATGCCACGAACACCCCAGGCAGAGGGAAATGGACAGCGTCAGCCCCACCTTCTCCTGGATCCAATTCTATCAGGAGCACGGAGCAAGAAAGATGTCCCAAGAAGATATGTGGTACTGACCAACATCCAATAGCCTAAAGAGGCCCTGGAGTAGGGGACCTGGTAGGGCTGAAGCTAGCCCAGAGGTGGCTTCAGTGCATGCACACACCCACAAGGCCAAGGTGTGGCCATGTGGCCATGCTGCAGTCTCAAGCTGATGGTTTCTTTAGAGACAGTCATGGATAACAGGGCCTCTCCCTTCGTGGGGCTGAAGTTCACAGCTCCTGGGGTGACCAGCTGAGCTGAAGGGGAGTGTCCTTTAGATGTACACAATCCTTGACAGTCCCTACGTCTCATTAGATCTTCCCTTCAGCCACATAAGGAGGGCAGGGCAAGTGTTAACAGCTCCATTTTATAAATGAAGCAAGTGACATTCAAAAGATGCCATCTGTTCTCTTCTTGACTGTGGACATTTGTTACGAAAGAAGAACCTGAGCCTCCCACCCCCAACAAAGTAAATGAACTCATTGCTACACTGACCAAGCCTCAGAATCTGACCCTGTCAGAGTTGGATAAAGGGGGGTGATCTTTGCAGAATCCTAAGTGAGAAAGACTGAGGCTCAGGGAGAAAGGGTACCCACAAGGAGTGGTCCTCATTGCCCTGCAACTCCCGCTTCTCTAGGGCAGTGGTCAGTGGAGGCCTGGGAGGGTCAGTGGGTTCTGTAGGCACTCACCTTGGGCTCCATGGCCACGGGAGACCAGCCTCCCTTCCTCCCAGCAGCCTCCTCCTTGCAGGGGACTTTGGCACACGCTCCATGCCCGCTTGTCCCCCCAGATCTGTCCCTGAGCCAAGCACGGGACCTCACTTAATCCCAATTATGTAATGTGCAATTTAAACAGTTGGCCAAGGGGGAGGTGCTTGGAGCCACGCCCAGGAGTGGGGGCAAAAGGACCCAGTTGGGTCAGGGCGGACAAACTAGGCTTGGCCTCTTGCCTGTAGCGGTCACCACTCCTCAAGCCTCAGCCAGCACCATGAGCGGCCGAGTCGGAGACCTGAGCCCCAAACAGGCAGAGACCCTGGCCAAGGTGAGAGCCCCTCCCCCTGGAGTTCCGGAAGACCAGGGGAAAGGGGCTGGGAGTGGAAAGGAACGGCTGGAACCCTGCCCCACTCAGTTGATTCAGCCCGTCCTTGACATTGTCTCTTTGCTGTTACCTCCCAAAGGGTCAAGCCCTACACTGCCCAGTGACATCTACCCTATCCAGGGCAGGGGATGAGGGACTAGTGCCACTTCTGGGCAATAGTGTGGGTGGTGCCCACCCAAGGTCAAGGCTGACTTCTTCTCATCCAGGAGCCAGGACCAGAGAGGTTTCCCTGGCAGCCAGGCACCCCTTCCTCCTTTCCCAGGACCGTAGGTAGGATGCTGCTGGTCTGCCCTTTAACCCCTCCCTCCTTGGGATCCTGAAAGATGACTGACCTGTAAAAGCCCAAGAGACAGAGCAGAGAGGACATATAATTACTAACTATGTTTTAATAGAAGGTGGGATGAAAAAGAAGCAGAAGTTTTGGGGGCTAACACACGGAGGGAACTATGAATACCTCCAAACTCCAATCCACTTATTCACTCACCCAGTCATTTATCCAGGCTGAGTGCTGTGGCATGATCTGGGCTCACTGCAGCCTCCAACTCCTGGGTTCAAGCAATTCTTCTGCCTCAGCCTCCTACGTAGATGGGATTACAGGCATGTGCCACCACGTCAGCTAATTTTTGTATTTTTAGTAGAGATGTGTTTCATTATGTTGGCCAGGCTGGTCTCAAACTCCTGACCTCAGGTGATCCACCAGCCTTAGCCTCCCAAAGTGCTGGGATTACAGGCGTGAGCCACCGCACCCAGCTGGTTTATCCTTTCTTTCATCCACCCATCCATCTTCCTACCCACCTTTCCATCCATCCAACCTTCCTTCTCTCCATCACCCATCCATGTCTCCTCTGTCCCTTCACCGACTTATCCATGTACCCACTCTCCATCCATCCATCCATCCATCCATTCATTCATTCATTTCTTCTTCCTTTTTCTTTCTACCTATCCACTCACCCATCTATTCTTCTTTCTAACCATTTATTCACCCATCTATCCTCCTTCCATTTATCCACCTATCCAGTGATCCATCTCTCCTTCTAGTCAACCATTAACCCATCCTTTCATCACTGTGGGCCATTCTGCATGTGGGAGGAAAGGAGGGATGATGAAAACAGCTTTGAGTCTGACAGCCACGGCTCAATGTGAGAGAGCTGCTTTAACCAGCATCTCTTTTGCCAGTTCCGAGAAAATGTCCAGGATGTGCTTCCTACCCTGCCCAACCCTGATGATTATTTCCTTCTACGCTGGCTCCGAGGTGAGGGCAGAGGTGGAAGAGTTAGGGATCGGGGGCAGCAAGAGGGGCCTGGTCCCAACTGCTCCAGAATGCCTCATGGCTCTCAGGATCCATCCACACAATCTTGCTTCCCATGTTCGGGTCCAGAGGAGGGAAGAGGGTAGGGGAGCGAGGTCTTACCCAGGCCCCGGTGTCCTCCATAGCTCCCCCTGGCCAGGAACAAGACAAGACCTCTTTCCGGCCTCACATCTTTGTTTTCCCACAGCTCGGAATTTTGACCTGCAGAAGTCGGAGGCTATGCTCCGCAAGGTGAGACCTCTCCACTCTGGAGATTTATAGAGGGGCTTTGTCAGGGGCAATCTACGTCTCGAGCCCCTCCTTCCATCCCCATTCTCGTGGTGCTAGGAGCCCAGTCGGGTCTTACCACTCATTTCCCTTTCAGTACGTGGAGTTCCGGAAGACCATGGATATTGACCATATCCTTGATTGGCAGCCCCCAGAGGTAAGCCAACACCCCCAAACACCTCAGTCTTTCAAGGTCACTGGGGACCACGAATGAGGGGCAGCAAGCCTGAGAAGCCTTTGGAAGCCGCGGGCCCACAGTCTCCTTTCTTATAGTAATAATGAATGTTTCCTGGGCCTTGCGAGGTCCAGG